ATATATATATATATATATTTAAAATACTCCTGCCTTTCAGTTAAGAATTCCTTTTAGGGAGACAGTTTTAGGTTGTTTAGCCAAACACTGGTCCTGGAGTACTGGAATGAGCATGGGGGCAGGGGGAATGTCCTGTAACTGATTAACTTGCATTTTCTACACGGTGAGCTTCTTCATTGTTTGAATTTTTTTTTTAACAAGCTGATACAACTTTTGTTACTAAAAGTAAACAAATAAATAAAAGACAAAGAACAGCGACTGCTGCCATCGCCCATGGGGAGGGAAGCGCTGCAGGATGCATGGACTCCAGAGGGAGGGTATCTTTCTGGAGCCTGTGAGTTTGCAGAAGAAACAAGTTCAGGGAGAGGTAGGATGGAGCTAGAGAAGCCAGGAGGTGAGAGCGGAGTCCGGCCCCTGGCAGCTGCTTGCCTTTTCCCTGCTGAGGTTACTCACCACTGTCCAGAGCTGCTGGGATAACTGCCCACCTCAATCACAAATCCATGGGAGATGCCTGGAGGGGCTTCAGGTCCTGAGAAAGCAGGAGGGAGGCTGGGTCAGAGCCCCACAGGGGAAGAGAACCCTGCCCCTGGCTGTACCAGGTGCTGGATACAGTTTTCCAAATGAGTGAACTGACTGCCTCTCCGGCTAAGTGCAGCAGAGAGGACTGGCTTTGAGTCCCTCCCATGCCACTTAGGAGCTGTGAGACCTGAGGCAAATAAATGACTTGACTTCTCCAAGGCTCAATTTCCTCCTTTGTAATTTTGGGATAACATTTAACCTCTTAAAGTTGTGAGGAATGCTGGCTTGGTAAGGTGCCATACTTATTCCCCATGTTACTGCTGTAGTGTTGAGCTGTCTGGAGGGGAGGAACCATGGGAGATCACCTAAATGAGATACACTGAAGTCACCTATGCTTGGAATCCAGCACTTCCCAGGCCCACCTCTAGCCCCCAAGCACCCCTGAGTCCTTTGGTGAATCTTTAAAATGTCATGCTTGTGCTGCAAAAAGAACAGTGAGCCTCCCACACCCCAAGGTCCTCGAGTTTTCTCCTCTTTGCACCTGTCGCTCCTACAATGATCAAGGATGAGGTGCTTTGGAAGGAAGGGGCTTGGGAGTTTCCTCCTTGCTTGCACAGCATTTGCTCCCTAATAACACCCTCCCTGTCCATGTCACCACTGAGAGAACCCAGGGTCTAGATTGTGAGCAGATCCCATCTCTGCTCCTTCCCCTTATCGAGAGGCTGCAGGAGTGGGTGGTGGAAGCCCAACAGCTGCCATCTGCTGACTCTAGAGCTGCCTCCTGAGTCCCATGCCCACTCCTGGAAAACCTGAAAGACAAGAGTAGCCACCCATCCGCTCTGCACTTATCTCCTCTCCTTGAGGGTGTGCTTCCCCTGAGAACAGGGGAGGAGAGGAAGGGAACTTGTATCTTATGTGCCGACACAAATCATTTCAAGTGTGAGATGCTTTACATTCACTCTACGATTTATCTTCATGGCCCCTGAGGTGGACATTATGATCTCAGTTTTTTAAGTAAAGGACCCAAGGCTTGGAGAGACAGCAGGAAGCTAGGACTCCAACCCAGAACTTCCATCGCTAAGTTCCTGGCACTTTCGGATCAGACTTCTGACCTCTCCAGTCCGAGAGGTCCCTGCAGAGTGCGGGATCCTGATGTTTTGGCTCAAACACAGCTGCCCTGGACAGTCCAGCCCTCCCCTGGAGAGAAGGATCTTGACCACAGGCCAAGGTGTTTGTTACCTGCACTCCAGGGAAGCCAGAGGTCTTCTTAAGTGACTCACAATACAGGAACTGCTATCTGATCCTGTTATTGGAACTCAAGAACTAGGAAGGGGAGTTGAAACATCCTATGCCAAGCAGGGTGTCCAGAGAAGTCCAGGTCCCCATAAGGAGCCTTATGTTCAGCCCCAGGGTTCAAAGTTAGGAAGAACTTGTTAGGCAGGCACTGTGATATGTACTTCAGCTTTGTGATTGAACTTTACCCTTCCTGAGTCTGTAGGAGGTAGAAATTAACCCTGTTTTAATTGAGGCAGTGGGCTCAGAGAAATGAATACTCAGCTAGTAAGGCACAGAGCAGAGGTTTAAATCCAAGTGCCAGACCCCTAACACAAGGCTCTGAAGTGGGTCCCATTCCTAAGCCTTTGCCCACTGAAGTTCCCCATCCTGGAAGGCCTATCCCTTCCCCTATGAATTCTTTCCTTTTTAAAGTCCTTTTTTAGAGGTATATATTTATTATATGTTCAGTTTTTGGAAAAGGTATCACACAGAAGTAGCACAAAATAATAAATGTACAGATGAAGGCATTGTGGCCTTGTGTTTTATTTGTGAAAAATTAGATAAGGGGTCCTATTCTCTGGCAGACACAGCCCCACACTGGAGCACAAGAGCCACTCAGTCAAAAGGAAGTGACATTCTCCATCCCCTACATCTCCAACAGAGGCAACCCTGCCTCCAACTCCCACCAAGTCTTTGATGGTATTGATAATGATGATGAAAATAACCCTATATTTCAGGGGAGGAGGGTGGAAGTAAAGTACAAGAGGCCATAGAAAGAATAGAAAGCTCCCTCTTCTACCCTGACACCCAGGACCACCTTCCACTGTCTCAAGTGACTGAAGCTGTCTTGTAAAGATAGTCTTTGGGAAATTTATTTTTGTCAAAATAATCCACATAGCTTGCCTGGCCAGGCAGCTCTGTTGGTTGGAGCGTTGTCCTGTGCACCAAAAGGTTTGAGTCCCGGTCAGGGCACATCCCCAGGTTGCAGGTTTGGTCCCTGGTCGGGGTGAATACATCAGGGGCAACCAGTCGACGTTTCTCACATTGATGTCTCTCTCTCTCTCTTTTCCTCTCTCTCTAAAAAAAAAAATCAATAAAAACATATCCTTGGGTGAGCATTAAAATAGTAATGATAATAATAATAATAATAATCCACATAGCTTGAATAAGCATAAGTTAGCCTTAAGTTTACACAAGAGAGTGACCATATCAGTTCCCCTTGAAAGGGGAATGAAAAAGCTGGGGAAAGACATTTTATAGTAAATCCTTTTTTGTATCTTCTGAATTGAACATAAGAACATATTACCTATTTTTAAATAACCATATTAAAAGACTTTTAAATGTACATAGTTTAAAAAGACAAATAGTTACAAGTCATTCTCTTGCTCCAGAATCCCACTTAACAAAAGCTTTCAAGTTTGTTAGCTGTTTCTTCTGCTAATTCTTTCTATTTCTTTTTTTTTTTTAAGCATCAATTATGACTGTTACAATTTATGGCATTTTATAGTCCGTTATTATAATGAAAGGTAAGGATTTGTCTTCTCTATACACATACACACACACAGAAAGAGAGGTGCCCATACACTTTTCTTCCCCCTCTCACCTCCTAAGTTTTGGTTAAGTCAATATTCAAAATTTACATTTTATGACTTTATAAAACAGTTCACAGCTGAAGTACATAATACACTAAGAGTACGTTTCCTTTCTTGAATAACCCTGTGTTTACATCAGAGTTAAACTGCCTTAGAGGTTAAAACTCTAATAGAAGGGTTGAAAGATAAAATTGAAGAAATGGAGAAAGTAGAACAAAAAAGATGGGTAAAAGATGGGAAACAGAGAAAAAAGAAAAAAGCAAGAGGCAATCCAGGGGGTTCAATGTCCATTTTATAGTAAATCCTATCATGGTAGAGCTGACAAATCTAGTTGGGAACATTAAAGACACAACCATGAGAAGGTGAAGGGACTGGATGGTGGTCTGAGTGAGTGGCCCAGTCACCCAGCGCCATGGGAGGCGTCATGATGGTCCTGGCATGCATATGTCCCTCCTGGATTCTGGCAAAAACCCCCACCTGGCCTCCCTCCAATCCATACGGCACAGAGCCACCAGAGCTGCCGACACCACACATTTCATCATGTCAATCTCCTACCCAGGCGCCTTCTGCTTTCCAACCTCCCTTCCCATGATTCCTAAACAGCATCCTAAGCCTCAGATGATCTGGGATCGTTACTGCTCCTCGGGCAAGTTCCATGCTCCCCTACTCGGCCACTGTGAGGACCCAGCCCTGACTCCCACCCAGAGTCCTCGCAGCTTCCTCCGAAGACGCCTCATCCGTGCCTCCCTCAAGGCACGCCCCACAGTGTCCTGCACGACAAGGCCTCCCCTTAGTGTCTGTGAGCAACCCGAGGCTGGGGTTGTGTTTTTCCCCAGTGGGCATCCATTCCAAGGCATCTAGTATGGGGCTTGACTCTGCAGAGGTGCACTAGACAGGGTTGCTTGTGTCTACTCAGGACCTGTTCCCCTTCCTTCTGATAACAGCCTCTAGATTTCTCTTTGAGGATCCACCCTTCACCCACATAAAGTGCATGCGGTATGCATGGGGCTGACCCTCCACCCCCTGGCTTATCTATATATTCCACACACTCTCCACGCACCACAGCGACTGGCTTAAGGAATGGATATCAGCCCCAAATCCAATCTGAGGACTTCTGTAGATCTGGCCCGGGTGAAAAGCCAACACAGAAGAGACGGAGCAGACAGAGGAAGAGGAAGAGTCCATACAAGCTGACAGCATCTGGATACAGCTGTGCAGGACTCACCACGGACCTCTCAGTTGGGAAATATATTGTTTTTGCTTAAGACACTGTGAGTTTCTGTCACTTCCTACCAAGAGTTCTGATTAGGTAGCGGATCCCCTGGGTGGGGTGGGGTGGCGTG